CGCAGGTGGGATGGAAGTTCAGCTTTGTTAGCGAGGTCAAGTGTCCGATTTTAGTTCCATGCAGATTTTAAAAAAAATTACCTGTAATCTATCAGTGAAATATGCAGCCCAAATCTCCTACTATTTAATCAGAGTGATTTTTTTCTTCGATCAATGAAACATTTTGAATGGCACATTGGATGCCTCCATGCACATCGTGGAGATGTCAAACATCAGTCCTGCAAAGATTCCAGGATTGAAATGGTTCCTCTAGTGATGGTCTGAGTGATGGCACCTAGAGGTGTTACTAGAGAACAATGTAAGCACTGCCTTTTTAATAAAAGGTAGTGTTTTAATTGAAAACACTTTAAGGGACAGTAACATACATTAAGCTGTAATGGTTTGGGTGAGTAGTGTGTCCTTTTAAATGCTTCAAATACATTCATTGAAACAATTATTAAATCTCTGATAGTTTGATTGATGTCAATTTCCCATGCATGGCAGTAATCAGAGAATGAAATTGCTAGGTTTATTGTTATATTTCGGAAATCTTTTTAAATTGCCTTGAGACATAAGTAATTAAGTACTTAGCAAGGACTGTGTAGAAGCTAGGCCAATCATGTATTGGTTGTTGAGGTTCTACATACATTATTGGTGATATTATCTACATTTTTCATTAAAATAATTACTGTGACAATCAGAACTAAGTTTTTTAATGAACATGAATACTTCAGACAATCAAAAAATATATTCGTAAAGGCAGTCACTTGTGATAAACTTCTTGTAGAAAAATAAGATTGCATTTTTACAACAATTCTTCAACTTTATGTTTCTATATCCTTCTCCTGACATTGGTTCAGAAAAAAGTTGGATCATTTGTAAACCTTGTTGCAAATATGTAGATATGCAGATAAACGTGCATGCCATGGCTCAACCTGAGTTGATACTATGGATTTGAAATGTATTGTTAAACTTTGAGAGAGATTTGTATTTGATATGAACAAATAGAGCAGTGCAAGGCAACATAACTACAGACAGTACATTTTCTGATGTCCTGTATTTTAAAGACTTTGAAGTTTCTCTTGTTTACTTATGAAAGAAATGTACCATTTCTCTTGTGTTCATATGTTAGACACACATGAAACTATTTCTATTGTTTTCTGACTCTCAAAAGGCAGAATGAGGAAGTTTTCATTCTGTTGCCAGAACAGTATTTACTTCCTCTGGGGTTTAAAGATTCTCCTATGCCTTAGACTTGCATGCTTTGTTGGTGCTAACTACAATGCCAAAACTTGTCAAACCTTGTTACAGAGAGAATCCTTTTCATGTGCACTAAAGGGAAAAGAAAGACAGAAAATATATTTCACTTGTGAATTCATTTGAGTCCCAGAAAGCCTGATTTTGGAAGTTCTTACATATAAGAAGCAGACATATTTGACAGAACAGATTAAATTTGCTGTCCACTCAAAATAACTCAACACACGGCCATTGATGTCTAAACCGTTGGCAACAAAAGTGAGTACACCCCTATATGGAAATGTCCAGCTGAAATTTGCAGTGACACTGGTAAAATACTATTCTTAACTTGCTAAGGTCATCGCCATGGACAAGAGATCACAGAGGTAAAGTACAGTAAGTGATCAGCAAAATTAATCACTAAACTTAGAGACTAATCAGTTTAATAGTTTTTAAAAGTGTTCAAAGGAAAGCATTGGGCATCAAAGTAAAAAAACTACATAAATCTATTTCTGACTTAAAGACCCTGATATCAATTGCAAGATTTATTAAGAGTACACGATGCATAGCTAAGCATGTGAGCCAAGAAAAAACTTAAGATTTACCTTGTTCTACTCTTTCCTTGCATGATGATCATGAATGGTTGTCAACTCCTAATATCTATAGAATATAGAATGCACACCATAACAATCTCAAAAAACTTAGCTTTATTATGTACAAAAAGTACCAAAATTAAAACATACAATAAAAATAAACACAATGACAGAAGCAAGGGCAAATACAATAAAGAAATACAATAAAGAAATGGTAAAATATCCAGAAGATTCTTACAAGCCACAAGACAGAAACACGAGTTACCAAACCCCCCAATGTTTCGGCACCAACTGGCTGCCTTTATCAAGGGTACCTGTATCCATGTTTAGATGTGCCTGCTTATAAAGCCCTTTTACAGCTGATGGCCATCAGCATAAGGTTGTTACCAACTCTGGAAGTGACATCATCACCTCAAGTGCTGGCACAATATTTTCATAGTAACATAGTAATATCATATAAGAATCAATTGTGTGCACTAAAGACATTCACAGAGCAAAGGAAGTCATAACCTAAATGATATATCTTACTGCTCTGATAACGAACCTCTAGTACATATACAAACAGTAAGTATGCTCACACTATATCTGGCGTCTATAATAGCAATTTTACTCACTGGCAATCGAACACCTTTAACAATACGCCCCACAGGCGTCATAGTCGCCACCGCGTGCAACAATAGCCCACGCATGAGTACTACAATAAGTGCCGCGCACGCGGGCAGCAACGTCTAATTTTCAACTCCTCCCACAAATGTCCTCTCCATGATGCAGCATCTCTTCTCATCATATGTTTTATTATATGCTTATCCTTGCTGTACTCCTCATCCTAGTAAATAATATACTCGTGTTTATGGGGTGAGGAAATAAGAAACTGTTACTTTCAAAGAAGCTTTAAAGATCTAGGTTTCTTTGAGCCAGGGGCCTTAAAAATATGTTTTGCACATACAGAATTTTGGAACAGACCAACATTAATTTAGACATTTGGATAGGTGTGTACAAATCTTATATATCTGTATAGTTGCATCTGATACCTAGAGTGTAATAAGTGTAAGCTTAAATATTTAAATAATATTAACACTGTTTTCTATGCTCCAGAATAAAATCTGGGAAGCATTTGGTATAGACAGTATATTATTGTCAAGGTAACGCATGCAGATTAAGCTAAAGGGTCGATATATATGGATGCATAAACTGACTTTTTGGAAATTAATTCCATTGCTTTAAAACATGTTTATTAATTGGTAAAACACAAATAACACTTCTAAAAAATATTGTTATGAAAACATTCCATTCAGTAGTTGATCAGTAAGCATTAAACTTTTCCACTGACATTTATTAGAAAACGAGAAAAAAATATTTGAGACATAAAAACAGCAATTTTTTTACCGGGACATATCACCATAGTACTCATTTCTAGCATAATCCCTGGAAATGCAGAAATTGATGAAAGATAACATTTATAATTGAGGTCATTAATTTGTACTATAGTTTAATCACATTTTGGTTATGCTTAACATACAACGAAGTACTATGATAAATATTTAACCATATTTATTTAAAGTTTAATGTAATGTTTAATAATGTCCTTGCTCACTTTTTAACAACATGACTATGTGTTTGGAGAAACAAAAAATACAAGAATCAATTTTATTACCCAGGCATTGAATGAGTAAAATAAATAATAGAAAAAAATTAATATATATAATATAATTTTTTTATATATATATATAAAGGATCCAATCTGCATTACTTACACTGGCTCCATGTGGACCCTCTCCTCAGCTCCTGATCTTCTTTGACAGAAAGAATCTCCTCATCTCGGCCTTGCCTGGCCGAGATTCCCTTCTGAACTATGAGTCATGCCTCGGTCGCAGTAGCTCAGAGTCATCACGGTTTGACTCTAATTTTTTTACTTACATTTACTCGAATGCTCTATTTCGCCTGTATACTTTACAAGAAGGAGGGCATTGGTGGTTTCATTAATTTGTTCTAACTTTGTACATGAATGCCTTGCATATACATCGTGAGGAGGGCATTTGGGACAAAATGCATGCATGCATAGATGTCCCATTCAGCTCCTAACACACAAACACTTTCCTCAGGTACTACACTGAGTTATCACAGCGAAGCATTTGTCCCCTTATAGACGACTGCTCCATGGGTGGTATTGGTTCGGTCAATTAGATACACGTATGCTAGTTGGAGTAGGAAGCGTTCATGCACATTTAACCGAATACTCCCTTTACAGATTAAGTAAAATTTTCTGCTATTTAGGCGAATAGCTGCTATACACAAACACATTTTTCCTCTCGTATAGTGGCAGTACTGACAAGTGAGATGTGCCTTCTATATTGGACAAGAAGCTCCCCCTTGTTTTTGAACATACCTGCCATGCCCCGACTGCTGCCCATATAAACCCATATAAAGTCTTAGAGGAGACTTCAGTTCTTCTTGTCCCGGCAATGGGACAAGAAGCTCCTCCAAAGGACCAGGCAGAGAGTGGTTTGGTCAGCAGAGGCTGCTGATCTGGGAGGTGAGTGCCCGATAGCTCCCTGGGCGGGAGCAGAGCGGCAAATCTACTTCCGTAAGTTGTGTTACGGAACGTGACCGGAAGCCATCTTATGTGGCCTTTTCTTGGGAAGTCCCGGGTGGACCTCCCACCGGCAATGCTCATGCATGCACACAGCAGTGGAACGCACGCCTGGGAGGGCATTTCACTGAACACCGAATCGTGCTACTGCGCATGTGCGAAACTGTGGTTTAGGTATTTTGGCACCATATTTAAAATTCTTTGGCCATAAATGCTGTGCAGAACTTGTCTGACCCCAAGGGTGGGTGTCCAGTACAGATTATCTGGGTCACCAGCCCTCCTACACGGTTGTGAGGTGTTGGAGGTGAGATTTTAATTTAAAACTCCCTTGAATGCCTTCCACTTATTGCATGCTTGCTGAAACTTAGTTTTTGTTTCTTTACAGATATGTCCAGCCCTACTTCTCTGGATAAAGCTGAAAAAGAAAAGATGTCAGCTACTATCCCAAAAAGGCCACAAGCAAATCAAAGCACTTGTGCTGTTTGGAATGTGCAGTTCCTCTGCCTGATGGTTGTCGTAAAAAAAACTGTAATCGATGCTCAACAGAATTACTAGAAAAGTCCAAGCAAAATGAAATGTCCTTATTCCTGTGCTGGTTCCAGGAAAATCTATCCCAGACCTTCGAGTCTTTTAAAGATACCGTTAAAAAAGACAGCGGACCTGTAGCTATTCAAAGAAAGCAGACAAAGAAACATAGGAGAGAGAGATCTCCATCACTGCCTGAGCTCTCATCAGGGGAATGTTCAGCAGGTTCAGCAGTACTTAAAGCCCAGAGTGTGTGGCTTCAAGCCCTAGAAGAATCTCATGGGAAAATCAGATAATGACCCAGCTCAGCTAATGTTCCTCCTGAAACTGTCTAACGAGTTTCTTTCAGATGCCTCTGATGAGATGCTACGATTATCTGCCAGGATCATAGGTTTGCCCTCGGTGGCTAGAAGAGACTTATGGCTTAGAACTTGGACGGCAGATTCCGCTTCTAAATCGGCTTTATGTGAACTGCCCTTCGAGAAGACCCCTCGGGAAGACATAATAAGGCAGATGTCTGAAACCAATAAAGCTTTACCTCAGGATTCGAGACCTCAGAACTATAAAAGGTATCAGTTCAGAGGACAACGTTCTTTTCGCTACAATGGAGATTTTCGAAAATGTCATAAACAGACCAGTGACACCAGCAGACAATGTTCAAGAAAAGATCTCAAAAAGCAGGACAAAAAGAAAAAATATTGATGCCAAAAGTGTGGGAGGGCATCTTCGGTTCTTCGCTCACAGATGGAAGGATTCAACTTCAAATTGTTGAATTGTTAAAATATTCTATTGATTGTGGTTAGATGATTAGGGCTATTTAATAGATTATGTTGAACTATTTTAATTTTTAAATCTTTTTTATTGGTATTATTGCATATATATTGAATGTACTGCATTAAAAAATTTGCTAAATGTATATTTTGCTATAAATGGAAATGAAAAATAAAAAAAGAATGTTTTATAAGATAAATCAATGTTTATTGATAAGGATGCCAAACACATGTGGACAATATTCAAATGCACTAATTGTGTGTAAAGCAAGGTATATAAAAGCTCCCAGAGAGGGGGAACAATCAAGCACTTCACGTCCTGACGAAGCCGTCTGTGAACGGAGAAACGCGTAGATACGGAAGTACGTCAATAAGGGGCAGAGCCTATTCAGAAGCCGGGCGTTTCAAAAAAGCAGAAGCAAGACCAGACGCCATCCGGACAAAATAAAAAGGCACCCCACAGACGATCAGCCATCTCCTGGTACAGGAGACATCTCCCAGTGCGGGAAAACCTGTTTGTGGGTAAACGGATTTACACCGTTGTACTCACCACCACATCTAGTAAGCAGTAACCTGCTATACATTTTGATAGTGTTTGGCTTCACTGTTGCATCAATTAAGCAGTAATCTGCTAAACATATGTCAACTAAACAGTAAATTTAGGTGTATTTTATGTTTTTATTATTATCATTCTTTTATTACTTTTTATAGCCTGTTATGTATTGATTATTATCTTCTGTTTTTAATTTGTGGTAATACTGTAATAAACTTTCATCCAGCTAATTAAGCTGATTTAATTCAATGTTTATAGAATTCAATAATATTCACTGATCCATGCAGATCTGTTCTATGATCCTTTTCATATATTTTTTCCCATATATGCTGAGCTTGAATTGGGATATTAAGCAACAAGCAATATAAGTATAAATTTATTTTTTTATTACTTGATTGCATGTGGGAAAGGGGTTTTGTCCTTTAGCTCTAACATTGCTCCACTTCTTAACACTATAATTTCTATTTTTGTATGTGGTGAAGGGATCACTTTGAAGTGTGGTAGCAGGCAATTAAAGAGATACTGTGTAATACACAATTGTTAAATAACTCTACTTTACCCCTGTAGAACTGTGTATATTAAGCGCTCCAGTATTGTAAGTTTTTTCTGACATCTATAAATGTTGCTACATTATCCGACATGCTGGGTTACTATCCCTCACCACATTTGTTCAATTTCCTGTTATCAGATTTTTCAAAGGGATTAATACGGGATTAATACGGGCATTATCTATACGTCTTAAGGTGCAATAGAGTGCAAGAATTTGCAAACTACCCTATCTGACCCAGAGACTATTGACTCGTTATCTAAACAGGAAGTTGATTAAGGTTTCTTACTAGGCCCTTTCCAATCTCCACCTGTTTCATCTTGGAGGACTAACCCTATTGGGCAAACATTCACACAAGCAAAGATTGATTATTGACCTCTCTGCCTCCCACTCTACAAAGGTGGTTACAATCCAACTGTTTGAGCAATTGGGTGTCTCAGATTCACCAAAAAGATGGAGGGACCTGATACAGTAATCAATTTTCTAGGCATTCCCACTTGACTCCATTGCTATGCAAGTTATGCAAGCCTTCCCAATGACAAAATTCAGCACATCCTGATGAATATTGATCAATATATATGATTAGTTTCATGCAATTGCAAGGAACTACAATCTGTTTTGGGATCGCTCAATTTTGCCATGAGGTTAATCTCACAAGGCAGGTCCTTTATTTCAAGACTTCTCTGCCTATTCCTAAGTCTGAATATTGATGTTAATGTAGCAGCATTAACCTAAACCTACACACTACATCAGATTTGATTATGTGGTGGGAATTCCTCCTTACATGGAACAGGAAGAACATGTTCATTCCACAGCTGACAAATCACCTACTATTTGGACTGATATGGCTGCCACCACTGACTTTGTAGCCATTTTTGGTGACAAATGGCTCTGGAGCAGTTGGTCTGCCAAAACCAGTTACATAGCAAGTTTTTCCTCTACGTCTGCTCTCTTAGAGCTCTATCCCATTGTGGCCACCGCTGTGGCTTTGAGTACATTATGGTCAGGTCAGAAGGTGAGATGTTTCTCAGACAACCTGGCTACAATCCACATCATAAACAAGGAACACTCATCTTCACTGATCATAATGTGATTCTCTAGGAAGCTGACATGGTTAGTCACCCATAATCAGTTTTTCTTAACATGTTGCTGCTGATCACCTATTTTGATTTCTTTTTAAGGCTTTTCACTCTACCGACTGCCTCCCCTCTAGCTGCTCCCACTCCTCAATTCCAAGACTTGACAATGGACTAAGTAATATGTTGGTTCATGGCCTTAAACTCTTTCAGCTGGTACTCTCTTTCAACACAAGATAATCCTATGATAGCATGTACCAGATTTTTAACAGGTTTATATCAGAATATAACATACATGATGATTTTGCAATGCTATCATCAGTTTCACCTCCTTTTGCCACCTTCATTTAAAATTGTCCTATAATACAATACAATTATATTTAACGGGAATACAACACCATATGCTCACTCAATGGCCCAACAAACCTAGTTTCTTTGCATCTTATTAGATAAGAAAAATACTAAAAGGGATACAAAAATCAAGTGTCTCTCAGCCACCATCAAGGCTTCCCACAGTCATATATTTCAATCAATATCTGGTCTATTAGATACAGCATTCTTGTAACAGCATACAAATCTGGTAATAAAAACATCTATCTGGGTTTTTATGGGTTTCTAAGACCCAGAGAATTCACCGCCATACGTTCAACCACCACCGATTATCTTAATATTAAGATACTTCACGATCACTACCAACTCTCACTACCACACAATAAAATGAGTCAAATGGGCAATGTAGTTGATATTTCCTACTACCCCACGCACAACAAATGGGGCCCAGTAAAGGTGTTAGACACATATCTACTCTCCAGTCATGATCAATCCAACACAACCCGTACTATTACTGCTATTACAATACTCACCACAGCAGTTCATGATATATGTATGAATTTTGTTAATGAGACTTGGTCTCAACCGCTCACTCTTTCAGAATAGGCGCAATAAAAACATTACTGTACACATTATAAAAAACTGGGATGCTGGAAATCCACTGCTTATTCAAGATATGTATCCCTTAACCAGTACACAAAATATGTTGTTTTTCTCGATATAAACCCCACTGTCATAAATACACACAAGAAAAATGCCCACATGGAACAATGCCCACATAGAATAAAGGCCGCAAAGAAAAATGCCCACACTGAATAATATGCACATATAGTAATTTTATTACCTACATTATATTTTGTTATTGATATTTTATGATTAAAATATCTCATATTCACATGCAACAATTGCATTGTGATTTTATAGTGTATAATTAAATAATATTTTTGCTATGTTATACGTATACTAATTCACTGCTAAACAAAAATGTGGCCTGTGTAAAGGGCTTTAAGCCCTTAAGGACAGAGGCAATTGTACAAGTTCTGACTAAAATAAAACCTAGAATTTAAAGCTATATATCTGTTCAACCATAATTTACCTCTTTTATATTAAGTGTGCCCACACTTATTATATATCATTTTTTTCAGGAGAAACAGGGATAGCTCATTAAATCAAGGTCTAAGTTCCTCATTTAATATTTATGGATACGCTTTTCAAATGATTTAATGTTTTTGGATAAACTTTTAAAATATTTTTTTCAAAATATTAAAATATCAAAAAACTATATAAAAATATATATTTTTCAACATATTAAATAATTTAAAAGTTTTTTCAAAAATATTAAATTATTTGAAAATCGTATCTAAAAATATAAAATTATTTGAAAAACGTATCTAAAAATATTAAATTGAGGCCTTAGTCTGTTCCCATCACATACATGGATTCTGGGGGCTATCTTTATTTGCCTGAACACCTAATTTCTGGAGGTATTGCAGGAAAACCTACAGACCCCCAAAACAAATATTTCAGAAGGAAGCAAATAGACACCAAGAGTCTGACCCAATTGGGAAAATTTATGTTTGTATAAGATTTGGAATAAATAGATATCAACATATCGAGACCTCTCATATTTAGCACCCAAGGAAGAAATTAGTATATCACAGCACATATAGTCATGTTGCTGGTACATACATATAATGTATACAACAAAATATAATGTATACAACAAAAGTGGATCAACTGAATCTCTATTGAGTGACTAGAGTAAATCTAATTTATTTTAGTGTTTGTTATCTTAATACTCCAAATTGTATTATGGCAGAAAATGCTAATTTTGCAGTGTTGTATAATGTTCATATATAACTAGAAAATGTTTGTTGAGATTATAGAGTTCACGTCGCTGTTAAAATATCATAATTTAAATAGTAAAAAAACACTGTAAGATATTTATATAAGCTATGTAAATGTCACACATACAAGAGGGAATCATGAGATATGTTCAAATGTCATAGAGGAAGATGTG